CATCGCCCCTCCCCTGACTTATGTAAAGTGATTTTAACACAGCCCCGCCCTTTGGGTGTCACTTTCACATGAAGCGGGAAACAAGTCCTGACAGTAGCAGAAGATGACTGGTGTCAGAGGCGCGGACCAAACCCTGCCCTTGGGACTCCCGGCCCTCTGCAGGGCTGGGGGCTGGCCCATCTCTCGCCAGCGCCCGCTCTCCCAGGCCTCACCTATGTAGTACTTCATCTCCGTGTCATGCTGGTTCATCAACTCCAGTAGCCGCAGCTCGATCTGGGCCTGGTTCAGGAAGGCCTTTTTGTTCTTAATGATCTTGATGGCCACCAGCTCCTGGGTCTGATGGTCATAGGCTTTCACCACCTGCTGGGGCAGGGCATGTCACACGGCAGGGAGAGCGGAGGGGACCCACCAATAACACTAACCATCATTCAGGCACTGGTGTACACACTTGACGTGAAGTTACACAACTACCTTAGGTGGTGAGGCCTGTTATTTGCATTGTTTTACAAAAACGGAAACCGGCCCAGGGAAACTGAGTGACTGGGCTTTGGTGAGTGGCCCCAGCAGGCCACTGGGGGTGTGGGTCAGTGTCCCCAGAGTGTGTGTGGGGGTGTTCCCGCACCTGGCCAAACGAGCCCTTGCCAATGAGTGAGTCAATCTCATAGCGCTCCAGCCACCGCTCGCCACTGCGCACGATGTAGTCGTGGTTGTCGTCATCGTAACCGTGGTTCAGGACCTTCTTTTCCTTTTTGGTGCTCGGGTCCTGGGGTGGTGCCTGCTGGGCCCGCCGCTTCTTCTTCGCATAGTATACCTGCTCAGCCAGGCCACCAGGAGATGAGGACAAGTGGGCAACCTGTACCAGTGGCCAGGACCCCCCCAGCCCCCTGCCTGGGGCTCCCCACCTCTGCCCACCTCATTGATGTGCTTGTAGGTCTTGATGAGGTCCACAGAGAGTTTGCGCAGTGGGGCCGAGGTTGCATCCCGGAAGGCCAGGGGGAGCCTCCGAGGCAGTAGCCGCACATCAGGCAAAACCTGTGGGTGGGGTGTCAGGTGGGCGCTGAGAACAAGCGAGATCCTTCACCTCTGACCTCAAGGGTGGGTCGCTGACTCATCTGTACCCCAAACAGTCATTTATTTGATCACTGTCTGTCCCCCACTAGAATAAAATTCCACAAGGGGAGAGATTTGTTGTTTTTTTGTCTAGTGCCTTGAACAGGACTTGGCACACGATAGATGCTCAACAGGGATCTGTGCAGCGTGTGAATGATTATTTTGCCCTAAGCTTTCACCCTAGAGGGACCTCAGGTGGCACACTGGGTAAGGCATTTTGCTAATCAAAAGGTCAATGGTTCAAACCCACCAGCTGCTCCTTAGAAGGAAGATGGGGCAATCTACTTCCATAAAGATTTACAGCCCTGGGATCCCAATGGGGATCACTAAGAGTTAGAACTGACCTGATGACCCGATGACAGTGAGTTTGGTTTTTGGTTTTCCTCTATAACTTTACTGCTTTCTGAGTCAGTGGGAGAGATTATATGAGAATTCTGGCTTCTCTCTACCAGTCCTTCATTCTGAGACTCCCCATCTGTATACTCTACTTTGGGGTCCTCCTCACCCCATTTTGCTTTGCCTCCATCCCTTGGGGCATTCCCCAGCCCCACCCCACCTCCTTCACTGAGCATCTGTGCCTAGCTCTTCTACCCAAAAGACCTTCCATCTAGATCCTGCACCCTGGGCCTCCTGGTCCACCCTGCTCAAGCACTACATCCTAGAGCCCCAAGCCTTTATCCCTGGAGATCTTTAACCTGTATCCTCTAAGCCCAAACCCTTCAGTCTCAGCAGCACCCCCCCCATTCCCACCAGATCTTTCACTCAGGACTTTCGCTTCCTTAGTGAGTGTTTATTGGGTGGTTCACTGTATGCCACGTACTGTTCTCAGCACTGCGTGCACATTTTATTACCTTGTTAAATCCTCACAACAACCCTGTGAGGTGGGTACCATTATTGGTCCCCATTTTACGGATGAAGAAACCGATGCATAGAGAACTAACTACAAGGTCAAGATCTGGAGCAGTCTTCAAACTTTGACTGTGGTGACATCTCTTTTATTACCTTCCACTGCCAGGGGGGCTCTTCATGCCCTCAGGAGACTGTTTGGCAATCCTACTGTCTCTTTTCGGCCCAGAGACCCCTCTCTCCCCAGCATCCCCCAACCCCAGGCAGGTGAGGAGGCAGCCAGATGCATACCTGTGGGTGCTCCTGGGACCCTGGGAAGCCAGAGAAGGGACCATGGCCTGGTGGGATGGCCATGGTGGGCTCAGAGGGCCGCAGGGGAGTGAGGCCTGGAGCGGGAGCCCGGCCGGGGGGCGCCTTCTCGCATCCTGCACCTCGGCTGCCACCGCCGCTGAGACCTGAGAGCAGGCAGGAAGGCAGGGGAACATGGAACAAGGGGAGGGGTGGGACAGTCCCAGGCAGAAAAAGATGGGCATCAGAGAAGAGGCAGGGTACAGCAGGAGGGGGGAAAGAGGGCCACAGAGCAGTGGATGACAATGAAGAGAAGGGATAGAAAGGAGCAGATAGGTGAAGGGAGGTGGCACAACAGAGGCCCTCAACAATCATCAAATGAATGAATGACAAAGACATGAGAAAGGGAGAGATTGGGAGCAATGCAAGAGCATGGAGTGGGTTGGGTGGTGTGGGTATGGGCCACGACAGGGAAGGGGGTCAAAAACCACCAATAATTGAGGGGAGGAAGAGAGAGAAAAAGATGGAAACCAGAGACAGTACAGGGAGCAGGATTCATCCTTCCCTTTTCTACTCAGACCCTCTCTGGGCCCCCTCCACAAGATCCCACCCTTCTGAAGTCCTCTGAACATCAGGATCTCATCCCCTATCACAGCAAGGTCCCTGTATTACAAGATCTACCCTTCCCAGCAGATCCCCTAATCCAGAGAACTCTAAGGTGACCTCCCAAACCACACTCGAGTCCTGAGGTCCCCCAAATCATAGCAGTGTCCTTTGCAGGCTCCTCAAATCCACATTAGGGTCCTCTGGGATCTCCCAACCACACCAGAGTTATCTGAGGTACTCTGAATCACAGGGGTCTTACCCCCGTGTTATTCCCACCAGGGCACACCCTTCCCAGTGGCCTCTAATTTATGCCAAGACCCCTTCCATATGTGAGGCCCTCCCACATTAGGAAACACTCCTCCATATCTCAGTTCCTCCATACGACATCACAACTCTTCCCCGTATTACTGCAGAGTTCCTCCCAATCAAGGCCCACTCTTCCGATGGGAGCAAGGGAGCGGTGTCTCTTCCCAGCTTACAATGGATCTTCCTCCTCCTTTCCCTACAGTGAATCCTCCCTCTACCTAACGTTCCCACCGGAGCCCCTTCTCCACTCCCCCTTCCCTACACTAGGGCCATTCCACAACAGTGCCCTTTCTTAGGAGGCCCCCGTAACCAAATTCCCTATAGAGTCTTCCAGGGTGTCCAACACACCAAAGTCCCTCTCCCCAGGGTCTAACCATGTCAGATGCTTTCTCTTATCCCAGGCCTTGCCACTTCACGACCCTCCCTCTCTCTTGAAGCTCCTCTCCCTGAAGGTTCCCCCTCCAAACAACTTCTTTCCCGGGGCCCTCCAACACCACGACCGTCTCTCCCAGCCTCCAACCCCTACCCGGGTCAGGGCTGGCGCGTGGCCCACGGGGGGCTGGAGCGCGGTGGGGCCCCCAGTGGGGTGGGCGGACGGCCAGCATGGCGGCGGTGGCGGCAGTGAGGAGGCGGCCGCCTGTCCCTGGCCCGGGCGGCCCGGCAGGCCCCGCGGCGGGGAGGGCAAGCGGGACAGGCGGCCCGGTGGGTGACAACAGCAGCCGCCGCCGCCGCCGCCAGGGGCGGGGAGAGGAAGGGACGAGGGTCAACCCGGGGCACGCGGGGGAAGGGAAAGCAGGTGGACGAGGGGGAAGGGCCTGTTAACCCTCGCACCACCGGCCCTGCCCGGCCCTGTCACTCGCCCCCGGGGACCCTGGCGTCCCGCCCCCCACCCCAGAGGCCCGGCCGGGCCAGCAGGGACCCGGCGGGCGGGGCAAGACTGAGTTTGGCAGTCTGCACCCTGCCATGGCAACAACCGTACCATTGGTCACCGCTGCCAGGAGCCCAACCAATCACAGCCCAGGGCAGCTGTTGCTAGGCGACGACGATGCGGCCGGCGAAGCTGAGCCCAAACAAAGGGCAGGAGCGGGGCCCGGCTACCCCTTCCCAGCCTCCCTCGCAGGACTGCTCCCTCGGGCTCGGCCCCTTCCAGGAATCCGACTATGAATAGCCAGGCGCAGCCCACACCTGCCTGGCTCCCCCTCCTTTCTCCCACGTCCTCGTGCTCAGTCTCGCGGAGACGCGGGCAGGGCGGGCCTCGCCCTTCCCCCCTCCCCTGTGATCGCGTGCCACCGCCCGCCCGTCACCGCGTTGTTACCTGAGGGCGCGGACAAGGGGACTCAAGTTGCCCGGGAAGCCCGAGCTCAGACCTGCCCACTGGCTGAAGGTATCCAGCAGATGCAGCGAACCAGGGCCCCGATTACCCAGTAATGCAACCAGCAAAATGGCGACCACAACAAACCGGCCCCCCCGCCCCGGACTCCGCCCCCAGCCCCCCCATGTCTCTCCCCCTCACGTGACCCACAGCAGCACTCCACGCCTGCGCTCAGTAGGCGCTACCAGCAGACATGCGCAGTGAACCATCAACCCCACCTAAACACCGAATTCCGGGTTATGGCCGCGCACCAGCTCTCCCTAACAGTGCCGCTAGAAGTGGAGCATGCGCTGTGTAATCGGATATGGCCCCTCCCACAAGTTGACCAAGGGCGCATGCGCCAAATTGTCACCAACAGCAGCCACAGAGCACCCAACCAGCAGCAGACGGAGGTGACGTAGGAGTCTTTTAATAGAAAAACACACGTGCAACAGCAACAACACAATCTGACAGTCCAGACCAGCACTGGGCTTCAGTTCTTCACTTTGGGGGGTGGCCTGTGAGAGGAACAGAGGAGATGACAGGGTCATTGCCTGTCCCTGACAAGTGCTAATGTGCACAGATCTGGATGTAGGGGGCAGGGCTCTGACCTGCTGGAATGGGCCCCTGCTCACCTGTACACGCCCACGACCACAGCATGGTCTCTTTCATATGGCTCCAGTGTCAGCTGCTCCTGGGGTTTCATGTTCTCCTGTTGCATCTTCTTCACTTCAGAAGCAAATACAGCCTCTGCCGAGGCCGTGGAGTCAATGCAGTTGGCCTACAGGAGAGGATTTCAAGTCCACAGTAAGACTGTGGACTGTCTGCCCTTTTTTGTGCTCTTTAAACCAGAAGCATTTGTTTCCACTGGGAAGTCAGTGAAACTCAGGCCAAATGAAACCGAACCAACCCCCGTATCATTTTTAACTTTTCTACAGCAAAAGATTATCGCCATTACACCTTATGGTACTCCATTACGCTTTATAGAGTGTGCTGCTACTCTGAAACACATGGAGTCACCTTGAGTTAGAGTCCACAGCAACTGGTTTGGATTTTTTGGTTTACAGCAGGGGTTTTGGAAATGTGGGTGAAATTTTCACCCAAGAGGTACTTTTAAGTTTGTCTAATTGGGACCAGGAGGCTTTAAACAAAACCTCACTCATCTAAAAGCCCATTTTAAATTTTATACCATTAAAATAAGAGCAATAATGCAGCTGAGAAGAGTAACACAAATGTAGGAAAAGGAAGGAGAATCTCAGCTAAGAAACATGAAGGGTACATTGTTGTTGTTATGTGCCATCGAGTCAGCCCTGACTCATAGCGACCCCTCCTTGGATTTCCGAGGCAGTATCACTACGGAAGTAGGATTGCCCAACCTTCCCTCCGAGAAGGGTACATAGGAGGAGCCAAAAGAAAAAGCTTTTAAACACGCCCCTGGCATTTAGATTTATCTATGTTTATTGTAGGAGCTCTGGTGGCGTAGTGCCTAAGGCACTTGACTGCCAACCAGAAGGCTGGAAGTTCAAACCCACCAGCCACTCCTTGGAAGGAAGGTTGGGCAATCTACTTCCTAGTGATACCGCCTCGGAAACCCAAGGAGGGGTCGCTATGAGTCAGGTCTGACTCAATGGCACGTAACAACACAGTGTTTATTCTATGCCAGGTTCTGTTCTAAACACTTCACATACACTGATACCTTTAATCCCTCCATCAACCTTAAAAGACTGGCCTAATATTTCTATTACCCAAATGAAGGAACCGGGGCACACAGAGCTCAGTAACTAGCTCAAAGTCATACACATGCTGGGATTCAAACTTAGGTGGTTAGACTCCACAACCATGCACTTGACCACTAGAGTCTATTACTTCAAATTACAAAGCTTTTAGTTTTACAGACATTTTTTATATCATGTGTGTTTGTTTGGGTTTGGGGGGCCAGGTGCTAGGGGCCTGGGGTAGGAACAGAGGCTGCGAATGGACTGACTGGATGAGGAGGCATGGAGGCCCCTTGTTGTGACTGGCTGCTTGTCAGACACAGGTAAGAGGAGATACTCTTTGGACTCCCCTGACCCATCTTAGACTCCCACAAGACTCACCTTAATGGAAATCACAAAATGGCCTCCATTACGCAGAAAGGTGTGGGCATTCAGGGCTACGATTCGGGTCTGGTCAGGCTGGGCCACGTCAGCAAAGATGACATCCACCATTGCTGGGGTGAGAGGAACAGCAGTTAGGAGAAGTCAGGCCCCCAGGGAGACCTTCCCAGCTCCCCTCTGGGGCCTGTGCCCCATCACCACCAAGTTCCTAGCAGTTTCCTCGCCCCCCACTCCCACTAACTGCCCTCTCCAATGTCCCCAAGATGGGTCCAAACCCAGTCATATCACTTATCCACTACTCTTGTAAACCACGGTTAGCCCCTTCTGTGACCAGCCCAAGGCCAGATATGGAGAACAGAGACGAGTCAGACCTGACTGTCTTTGAGATGCCCCCAGGTTGGGGGTAAGGGGGGACGTAGACAGACACATCATCAAAAGGGCAAGTGAGCACTGACAGGCAAGAGTGTCTGCAGCACTGTCAATAAAAACAAAGTGCAGGACATGGGTATAGTATGAGTGCACCGGGGGAAAAAAACCAAAAAACCAGTGGATTCAAAAAGAAATGGTTTTAAGCCAGTGTGATTTAAAAAACAAAAACAAAACCCCACTTAAAAAACTGAAAAAGTGATGTAATAAAAGCTGACTCCTAAAAATCAGGAAAAGCAGACGCTCAATTGTTCTTATCAATTTACCTCTTCAGAATTTTTTCAACAAAGTCAGTGACATTCTGGGCCAGGCCCATGCACAGTTGTTCTACAAGTTCTGATCTCACCAGACAATGAGGAGGCCCCAGGCAGGGCTTTTATACACAAGCAGAGAAAATGCACCATGTTCTGGGGGAAGGCAGGAAGCAGAGACAGGAGAAGCCAGGCCCTGAAGGTGGGCTGCCACTTCCACCACTTCACCTACTAGCTCTCCCATCCTCCTCATTCCTACAGACTCAAGAGGCCTGTCCATCCACTCCTAACTCCATCCGAACCAGGGCTGAGGCGGACTCTTCCAGAAAACCCTGTCCCACCCCACCTGGGCCACCCCTGAGCCCTCACCGATGAGCATGCGGTATTTGTGCGGGTGCCGGGCGTCCTCGATGACCGGGATGATGTTCGTCCTCTTCTTGGCCAGGTTAATGAGGTCGCGGCCGGAGCGGTGGGAGAACTCGACTGCGTATACTAGACCATCCTAGAACAAATCAAGGGATGATGAAAATGGTGCTAGTTCCAGGGTACTGAGCTTCCACGTGACCCACGTGCTGCATGCAGCAGCTCTTCAAATCCCCAAACTCACACGCTACCATTGAACGACTATCGTTATCATCTCCATTTTATACACAATTGAACTGAGGTCCAGGGCATAAAGTCAATGCCAAGGGCTACTCAGCAAGTAAGTGGCCGCACATGACACTGCACTGCCTAGAAGCATGTAAATGAGCAGAGCAGGGGTCACAAAGTGAGACACACAGGTGCCCTTTAGACAGATACACAGAAAGGCCCACCACCACCAGAATTTCTGTCCTAAAAAATTCACAAGAGTTAATTGGTAAGAACAATTGGGTGCCTGAGTGTGGGGGCATGAATTCAGAAAGAGACCAACCAGTGCAGTGTTATCTACCCTCCTAGCTCTAGGCCCCTCACTCTAGTCACCCTAACATACATGCCCTTTCCATCAAGGCTGAGAACCCAAGACTATGGCTGCATGGGCTTCGGTGGTCTTCTGATTCAAACAGCCCTTTCTACCCACGGCTTTGAGAGGGCAGGGCCTGGCCTGACCCCACGGCACAGGGAAGCAGCCATGCGTGACTCCACGGTGGCAATGGAGAGGCAGCCTTTCCTCCCCCAACCTCACCACCTGCTGGTACTCACGGCTCACGCCCCTCCCCCACTCACCTGGCCCACGATGTCAGAAACGTGGGAGACGGTGGTGCCCGAGGCGGCACCGAGGTACAGCACCTTGGCCCCCGGCTTGATGTGGATCTGGTCCACGCCGCCCAGGATGGCTGCTGCCAGTTTTGAGCGGAAGGGGTTCCAGGCACGGTACTCAATCTTGTCATCACCCTCCTGGACCGGGAGAGATGGGAAAGGAAATCAGGGCCAAGCTCTTCTCCAAGACCCCAATCCCATTCCCTTGAGAACATGACAAGGACTGGATGTTCAATCACTGTGCAGGATATGAACGGTGACTACACAGCAGTGGCCACGACAGATGCAGTTGTGTTTATCACAACGGGCAATACACGCAGAGATACACAAGATCCTATCAGGTAACGGGTAAGATCTCCAAAACCATTCCACAGACAATGACCACTGTGTGCCAAACCCTGACCCAGGCACAAGGGCTTAAAACAGATAGCATGACAAAGATCCCTGCCCTTGAGGAATCAATCTATGAGGAGCTAACTAAACAAAACATGGCACAGCACGATGGTGACAGGTGTTAAGAAGACAAAACCAAGACATGAAGTGCAGGAAGCAGGA